TTTGATTTTTTTAAGAACAGAAAGTAAAAAATATTAGGTTTTTAAAAACTTTTTTGGTCTTTTTTTTCGTTTATATAATAAAAAAAAATAAAACACCCAATGGTGGTCAAACACCATCTAAAGAAAAAAAATGAAATAAATGTAGTTTGGGTACTGTGTTGCATGACCACACAGTTACCAGTTAAAGTAGCACAGTACTAAATAGCAAAAAATGGCCTGGACACAGAGGTGTGGTTAAATGTAACTATGTGCAAAAATTACTTATGGGCTCGTTCACACCATGCTGCAGAGATGTCAGTTTTTCTGCCCACGTTCTGCAAGGGCACATCAAAGTCAATTGTTCTCTATGTACCCTGTGCACACCACAACACTAGTATCACATGCAGATTTTTTATGCACAGGAATCTGCAATGTGTATAAAACTCATTACAGAGCGCATGAAAACTGATGTAAACTGATGTCTCTGCAAGTGAAATCTGTGTGTGCAGAAAAGCTGATGGAAACTGACGCACAGATTTCACTTGCAGAGACATCAGTTTACATCAGTTTTCATGCGCTCTGTAATGCGTTTTATACACGTTGCAGATTCCTGTGCATATAAAATCTGCATGTGATACTAGTGTTGTGCTGTGAACAGGGCACATAGAGAGCAATCGTTTTAGTTGTGCCCTTGCAGAACGTGGGCAGAAAAATGGACAATTCTGCACCATGGTGTAAATGAGCCCTAAAGCAGAACTAAACCCATCAGTTCAACTGTTTCCCCAATCAGTTACATTCAAGGCATGCTGTGGCCAATGATAACTGTCACATTTGCTCTCAGCTAAACTGTCAAACCATCAAATGGCTGGTGTATAACTGATCACATGTGTAGCACCATGGCAACTGCAGATCAAACAGAGGCTAATACAGGCCATAGACGGCTCGAAAATCTGCCGATTTTTCGTCCGATAAACAAAACATTGGTCATTCGTTAAACCGACGTAACCACCAATGATTACAAAAATCATCTGACCAAGTCATAAAAATCATGACCTATAACAGGAAACGATGTCATTTTTGACCTTTCAGACCCTCCCACACTATACAGAGCCTGACAGAATGAACATCATCATATCGCATGTACTAAAAAAAAAATGCCCAGAAAAATGTCGAAAAGAAAAATTGCCATAATGGTGCTTGGCTTGGTAGCACTGTAGGAGAAAAAAAATAATAAAAAAAGGAAGAGCAGAGTATGGTCCAAAGACTGGCTTCTTCAACGGGCCATGTTTTCCCACATGGACCTGCTTTCAAATTTAAAAAAAAACAATCCTGACGACAACAAAAACTATTTAAGAATGTCACAGCAGTCTTTTGAGCTTCTCCTAAACATGGTTGGACCACGCATTAAGAAGACAGACTCTTGCATGCGCAAGTCGATCAGCGCTGAGGAATGACTCACAGCAACCCTCCTTTACCTAGCAACCGGAAGATCATATGAGGACCTCATGTTTTCAACGAGTATATCAGCACAGTCCTTGGGTAGGATAATCCCAAAAACATGTGCAGCAATATCCAATGTGCTGAAAGCTGACTATTTGAAGGTATTTATTATATAGAGATATATATGACTGAAAAATTATAACTTTTTTTGGTACTTTTTTTTTAAACCAAACAGTTCTCTCCCCTTTCAGCTCCTGCACACTTCTTTGTATGGCTCTGCTTATCTGACCCATGCAAACCAGTGTGCTTACATTGCAACCATTCCCCCAACTTCTCCCCCCCCCCCCAAAAAAAACCCACCAGTGATCACAAATTTTAAAAAAAAAGACTCACTCATAAATTTTACAACTATTTACATTTATTGTTCGCATAACAGAACAAAAATAATAAATTTAACATTTTTCAAAGATCACATATGTATAAACTGATCTTTTATTTTAACCATTAGCCGCCCGGCCAATGGCCGTTTGGCGGCTTCAGATGTGCCTCTTCATTCTGGGTGCACGCCATTTGGCGTGCTCCCGCACATGCGCCGTTTGCGGTAATGCAGAGCGGCGCAGCAGCGGGATCTGTCACGGGCCGTGCACCTCGGACACGGCCGATGACAGATCCGAGTACCGGCTCCCGTTGCTGGTACCATGTGACCTGCTGTGACCAATCACAGCAGGTCACATGACAGTTGTATACAATGGATGGCTTCATTCATGATGCCATCCATTGTATACTAGTGCCTAGCTGTGAATGGTCACAGCTAATCACATGCACATGTCATGTGATTAGCTGTGACCAAATCACAGCTAAGCACAAAAAAAAAAAAAAAAAAAAGCTGAATGAATCGATTTCATTCAGGTAAATGCTTGCTTAATTCTTTGCTATAAGCAATTAAAAGTAATTCTTTGCTATAAGCAAATTGTGTAAAAAAAAAAAAATACTGATCACTTCCCCAAAGTAGTACAGTGTTACTATGGTAACATTGTACTACTTTGGTCATAGTAAAATATGAAAAAAAATCTTAAAAAAAAAAAAAAAAAAATGTAATAAAAAATTAAATATAATAAAATAATAAAAAAAAAAAATATATATATATTTTTTTCATACTGTCACCAGTCAGTGTCCCTGTTAACCGCCATGCCAGTTATATGATGACGCTGTACTGCACTGGTGACAGTATGTAAAAAAAAAAAATAGTGAAAATACTTTTTTTAATTTTTTCATTTTCCGAAAAATTATGACATAAAAATACAACTTCAAAAAACTCGCCATGCCTCTTATGAAGTACGTCGGACTGTCTACTCTGCAAAAAGGGGTCATTTGGGGGATATCTGTACTATTCTGACATTCTTGGACCTCAAGAAATTAGATTGGCTGTCAGTACTTCAGGATTGATCAATATTCAGATCTATACCATAGTTTGTGAACTCTATAACTTTCCTACAAACTAAAAAATACATCCTAATTTGGGTTATTTTCACCAAAGACATGTAGCAGAATACATCTCGGCCTAAATTTATGAAGAACAATTATTTATTTGTAAACTTTTATAACAGAAACAAAGAAAAATGTGGGTTTTTTTCAAAATTTTTGGTCTTTTTTTGTTAATTTAGCAAAAAATAAAAATCCCAGCGGTGATTAAATACCACCAAAAGAAAGCTCTAGTTGTGTGAAGAAAATGATAAAATTTTAGTTTGGGTACAGTGTTGTATGACCGCGCAATTGTCATTCAAAGTGTGAGAGCGCTGAAACCTGAAAAATGGCCTGGGCAGGAAGGTGTAAAATTGCCCGGTATTGAAACGGTTAAAGATTGATGTAGTTAATATCCCAGGAAGTATGTAATTGTTCTGGCCAGTATGGATTGCTTTGGGTGGCAAGTAAATGGGGTTGTGGATCTCTAGCAAGAGTATGTGTGGGCCTATTCTGGGGCATATATTGGTGTGCAGTATTCTGTGAAGGAGGATGGGGATTATAGCCTACAATTCTGGTATCATAAGTACCCTGTTCCCTTTGGCCGATGGTTAGCAAATTGTAAATGAGGGGGTCAATTATTTCCCTTTGTTGCTGGCTCATATTGCGCAGCTTGTAGGCAATATGTTTGGCGAAGGCATCGCACTCGGCCTCTTTTTCTGCCAGGGCAGCAGATGCCTGATGCAAAAAATTTGCGGTGTCATATTCTGAGGCTCTTCTTTTTTTGCCTCTGGTAACGGGCAATGCTGGGCTGGGTCTTTCAGGTGTGACTTCACTTTCCTATAACAAAAAAGTAGTGAAAATATGTTTAATGTTACACACATTAAATCATTTTTATCTTTTACAGTTTCCAAGTTGCGCTCAAGAATGGCTGCAGATCGCCAAAGAATTTCAGGACCTTTGGAACTTTCCGAACTGTGGCGGTGCCATAGATGGCAAACATGTGCGCATCACACCACCGGCACACTCTGGATCATACTATTATAGTTACAAAAGCTTCTTCAGCATCATCCTGTTGGCCATTGTGAATGCTAAATATGAATTCCTCTTCCTTGATATTGGTAAAAATGGCCGGAATTCTGATGGAGGTGTTATGGAACATACAGAATTCCTCCAAAGAATGAAGGGTGGACTTCTACATCTTCCCACATTAGCCGAGACAGTTGAAGGACTGAATTTTGTGTTTGTTGGAGATGATGCATTTTCTTTAAGTGATCATATGTTGAAACCATTTCCATGGAGAAATATGACTCACGAACAAAAAGTGTTCAACTACCGGCTGTCAAGGGCATGGTGCGTGGTGGAAAATGCATTTGGTATAATGGCAAGCCGCTTCCGCATTTTTCACACTCCCATCAATGTGGACATAGACACAGTTGATGTGGTTGTGGAGAGCTGCTGCTTGCTACATAATTTTCTGAGGTCTACTACCATGGCCTATATGTCACCAGTATCACTGGATAGAAAAGATCTGTTAAGTGGTGAAGCTCTGCCTAGAGAATGGAGAAACAATAATGGTGGCCTAGAAAATTTGGCTTGTGCACGACCAGTTTTGCCAACCATGACAGCATGTCACAACCGTTTAAATTACATGCAGTATTTTGTGGGGGATGGTGCAGTGTCTTGGCAGGATAATGTGGTGTAAATATATATAATAAAGCTGAATTGATGATGCTGTGCATGCAAAACATTTGTATGTGAGCATATAAAAATTAAATATATTTGAGAGATTTGTGGTCAGTGATTTAATTGTACATTTTCAGGTTACATATGTTCATCTATTGCAAAGATAGATGTTTTACTTCAATTACCTGTGTCTCTGGGATCTCAAATTCCAACTGTGATTGAGGTGAGAAGGATGGTTCATCTGAGGGACCAGGCATCAAAGAGCAATGTGACTCTCTAGGTACATCCGAGTCAGTCAGGAATAGCAGGCTCTGAAAATACCATAGCCGTGGCACATACACATCATCTGCCCCAGCACCAGATTTTTTGGAATTTTCAATTTTATTAAGCTCTTTTTTAAATACTGTGCACAGGTTGGCTATATTATTTTTAACATAATTCACACTCAGGGGCGGACTGACAACTCATGGGGCCCCCGGGCAATAGGGGATCATGGGGCCCCTGTGTCCTTGCCCAAACTCAAAAAAGCCTATGAAAAAGGTACCAGGGGCATCTCATGGGGCCCCCTACTGACCCTGGGCCCTCGGGCAGTGCCTGATTTTCCAAATGATCAGTCCGCCCCTGTTCACACTGTTGCATAAATCAATTAATTTTTTAATAGCCTCACCATGCATCAATCTATTAGAATAATCCTTTGATTTCACCTTCCACAGACATGGCATTTCTCTAAACATGTCTATAAATTGAGGTGAAAAAGCGACAGAGGTGAATTTCTGTGCCATTTCTGTAAAAAAACTGAAAAAACGTATAAAATGCTGATTAAGTATATTTAGAAAAAAGAATGAACTAATTAAAATAGCACATTATGCTTATGCTGTTAACAATAGTTGCAATTGTAGACAGCATCGTGCACATGAGACAGGAAAGCCTTCAACCACTAGCCTACAGGGCACTTATACCCCCTTCCTGCCCAGGCCAATTTCCAGCTTTCAGCGCTGTCACACTTTGAATGACAATTGCGTGGTCATGCAACATTGTACCCATATGAAATTTTTATCATTTTTTTGAGACAGATATAGCTTTCTTTTGGTGGTATTTAATCACCTCTGGGATTTTTATTTTTTCTTAAACAAACCAAAAACCACTGAACATTTTGAAAAAAAAATTTTTTTTCTTAGTTTTTGTTATACAATTTTGTAAATAAGTGATTTTTCTCCTTCACTGATGTGCGCTAATGAGGCTGCAGTGATGGGCACTGATAGGCTGCACTGATGGACACTGATAGGTGGCACTGATGGGCACTGATGAGGAGGCACTGGTAGGTTGCACTGATGGGCATTGACAGGCATCACTGATGGGCACTGAAAGGCAGCACTGATACATGACACTGATACATGACACTGATATATGGCACTGATAGGCGGAACTGATAGGCAGCACTGACTTGCACGTATAGGCGGCACTGACTGGCACTGTTAGGCAGCACTGACTGGCACTGATAGGCGGCACTGACTGGCACTGATAGGCGACACAGACTGGCACTGATAGGCGACACAGGCTGGCACTGATAGGTAGCACTGATTGGCAGCACTGATAGGTGGCACTGATTGGCATTGATAGGTGGCACTGACTGGCACTGATGGGTGACATTGAAAGGCAGCTCAGATGGGCACTGATATGTGGCATTGATGTGCACTGGTATGCACTGATATGTGGCATTGATGTGGCACTGATGGGCACTGGCACCGATGGGCACTGGCACTGATGAGCACTGACAAGTGGCACTTCTGGGGCCACACTGATCATCAGGGCACACTGATCATCAGTGCCCTGATGATCAGTGTACATGTCCCCTCTGCGGAAAGCCAATTACCCGCTCTCCTCTCCTCTGAAGCTGTCAGCGTGACAGCTCGAGAGGAGAGAAATGCCGATAACCGGCATTTCCGTGTTTACATTTGATCAGCTGTGATTGGACACAGCTGATCACATGACCGAGCCAACATCTTCGGCTCTTTCCGTGATCCGCTGTGTCCGAGGGACACAGCGGACCAGCGATCACAGCGCTGTGCGCTCCCTGAGCCGCGCATGCACAGTGAGAACGGTAGGATGTCATATGACGTCCTATCAGAACGAGAGAATCACCTTGCGCCCGTCATTGTACTATAGGGCGGGCGGAAGGTGGTTAAACAACATGTTGCATAAGTATAAACATTTCTGAAATATGAAGTACTTGCAGGAAATGCTGAGTTGTTTTTGTCGTTTTGTCCTAAAAAAACTTGTATTTGCAGAGAAATATCGGCAATTTTTCATTCTGAGTAGATGTGTAGACTCCTCTCTCTCATAAGCAGCGTTCGTTCTGAAGAAAGAACATTCCCGCCAATGAAATGACGTACTCGGTTGGTGCCTTTTCACACTATAAAGTCTTCTTCTCCTTCCTTGCTCTTTTTGTGGGGACAAGATGGAGGAGCAACAGGACAAAAGCACATCCAGTGATCATGATGGCTCAGTGCAGCAGCTTGACAGTGGCAGATACAAAAAGAGAAAGGCCAGCAACATGTCTTTAGATGAGATGGTTGAGATGGTGAGAATCCTGCTCAGGAAGGATTATGATTGCAAGCTCCAAGTTTACAATAACACCAATCAAAGGAAGGATGCAATAATGGGAAAAATCCTTAAAGTCCTTTGGAGGAAATATGGCGTTAAACGCACAAAGGATCAACTGAGAAAAAGATTGTCTGATCTGAAGTTAAGGGAGGCTGATCAGTTCAAGAAAATAAGAAAAATTATCAGAAAAAGTGAGTATTTTCTTCATTGGAATAACATATATATTTATTTTGTTTTATATGTTACATAATGTTTGCCATGTGCTTATGCTGCAAGTGCTATGCCTCATCATGAATCTACTGTGCTGCTTTTCTGATGTTAATTAGAAAGGAAGTGGGTAAAAGGTGTGGTAATCAAATTGTTAAGTGTGATTATTTTACTGGAGAGACCAAACACATGCTATATTTAACTATGTCAATTAATTTTTAAGTGTACATACAATAGAACTTTATTGCTGTATTGATTAATTACAAATACTTTAACATGGGGAACGCATAAAGAAGGATACAGAGGAATCTGTCTGTGAGGATAGCGAAGAAAAGGAGATGGATGACCCAGATGAGCATTCAGAGGAACTAATAATTGACATTCTACCAGTTGCTGATGAGGAGCCAGTCAATAGCACAAGTTCTGGTAAGTATATATATATATATATATACATTCATCTATATATACATTAATCTTTGTAAATATATATGTTAATAATTGCAAAATTGTATTAACAAGAAATCCAGATTCTACTGGACTTAACAGTTATACCACACAAAAACTTACTGCAGAATTAATGGCTTGTAACATCCAGATTGAGGATATAAGAGATGCTCTGACCACCTTACAATTCAGGATCAATACAGTATTGGATACGCTTTGCAAACTGATTTGAATCATGTCTTGTATTTGCCTGAACATGTGTGTAAAAAAAGTTATAACCTACTGTTCTAAGTATTTTGGTATGCTATGTGCTTCTCTGTGGCAAATGTTGCATTAAAGGCTGGCCATACATTATACAATTTTCTTAAGATTTATGATTCAGATTTACTAAAATAAATATAATCTGATGCCCTTTTAGAAATAAAAATGGTGTACAGGTGTGACCTCGTATTATACAGTTTATAGTAAATCTTAAGCAAAATCCGTAAGTAAATTGTATAATATATGGCCAGACTATACAATGTGTTTGTGCACATTGTGGAGGTTTTGGCCAATGAGGTCTTGTGCACTGAATGTCTGTAACCTTTTCTCTGAATATTTTGCAAACTGATTTGAGTCATGTCAGCAATTAGGTTTTGGCCAATGAGGTCTTGTACACTGAATGTCTGTAACCTTTTCTCTGAATATTTTGCAAACTGATTTGAGTCATGTCAGCAATTAGGTTTTGGCCAATGAGGTCTTGTACACTGAATGTCTGTAACCTTTTCTCTGAATATTTTGCAAATTGATTTGAGTCATGTCAGTTATTATCCTGAACATTTTGTGTTTTAAAAATGTTATGTAGAACATACTGTTCTAACTTTTTTGGTATGCTAACATCTGGTTTGTGCTGGTCTGAGACAAATGTTGCATTAAAGGCTGGCCGTACATTATACAAATTCTTTCAGATTTTTGCTTTTGATTTACTTAAATAAATATAATATGAAGCCCTTTTAGATTTACCATCAACTATGTGGTGCTTTGACCTGATTATTTGGATACAACTGAAATTGTTGTTAAGATGTGACCTCATATTATATGGACTATAGTACATCTTGATCATAATACTTAAGAAAATTGTATAATGTATGGCAAGACTATACAATGTGATTGTACACATTGTGGATGTTGTGGTCACTTATGTCTTCTATATTGAAGGTCTGTACCATTTTGTCAGAATATTTTTCTAAAAATATATGTACACAATGTAGAGTTATAATAATGTTATGTTTTAAAAACAAAAAAAATATTTTCATAAAAAAAAGAGAATATTTATGCAAACAAACTGCAAAAGTAAACAATTTTGGATAATAACAAAGTTGCTCAATAAAGCAGTGCTGCTTTAAAAGATCTGTTACGTTTTTTTTATATCTTAATTAAATATTTGTGTATATTTAACTATATGTGAATAATGGTTAATATATGGTGATAATGGACATACAGGTGAAACTAGAAAAATTAGAATATCGTGCAAAAGTTCATTTATTTCAGTAATGCAACTTAAAAGGTGAAACTAATATATGAGATAGACTCATTACATGCAAAGCAAGATAGTTCAAGCTGTGATTTGTCATAATTGTGATGATTATGGCTTACAGCTCATGAAAACCCCAAATCCACAATCTCAGAAAATTAGAATATTGTGAAAAGGTGCAATATTCTCAGCTCAAAGTGTCCCCCTCTAATCAGCTAATTAAGCCATAACACCTGCAAAGGGTTCCTGAGCCTTTAAATGGTCTCTCAGTCTGGTTCAGTAGGAATCACAATCATGGGAAAGACTGCTGACCTGACAGTTGTGCAGAAAACCATCATTGACACCCTCCATAAGGAGGGAAAGCCTCAAAAGGTAATTTCAAAAGAAGTTGGATGTTCCCAAAGTGCTGTATCAAAGCACATTAATAGAAAGTTATGTGGAAGAGAAACATGTGGAAGAAAAAGATGCACAAGCAGCAGGGATGACTGCAGCCTGGAGAGGATTGTCAGGAAAGGGCCATTCAAAAGTGTTGTGGACTTTCACAAGGAGTGGACTGAGGCTGGAGTCAGTGCATCAAGAGCCACCACACACAGACGGATCCTGAACATGGGCTTCAAATGTCGTATTCCTCTTGTCAAGCCGCTCATGAACAACAAACAACATCAGAAGCGTCTTACCTGGGCTAAAGAAAAATAGACCTGGTCTGTTGCTCACTGGTCCAAAGTCCTCTCTCTCTATATATTTTTTTCTATTATGACCAGAATCATTTTAAAAATAGGACTTTTACTGAAAATAAAAAGTGTACATTTTATTATTTTCCTGTTTAAAATGACACTGAAATATTGCTTCTAGTACAGAACCTAGCAAGGTTATTTGAAAATGAAAAACAGGCAATTTTACACAATTTTTCCCACAACATAGAAATAATAATATCAACCTTATGACCTCCGGAAGATTTAACCCCCTTCATGCCCAGGCTATTTTTTGCAATGTGGAACGGCATTTCTTTAACTGACATTTGCGCGGTCATGCAACACATTTTTTTACCTTTTGCTGTAAAAAATCATATTACTTCATAAATTTAGGCCAATATGTATTCTGCTAAATATTGTTGGTACAAAACAAATCCCAAGAGGCGTATATTGATTAGTTTGCGCAAAAGTTATAGCATCTACAAACTATGATATATATACTGGATTTTTTTTATACTAGTAATGGTGGTGATCAGCGACTTATAGAGGGACTGTGATATTGCGGCGGACAATCTGACACTAACTGACACTTTGTGGGAACCAGTGACACTAATACAGTGATTAGTGCTAAAAATATATGCTGCCCCTGTATTAATGACACTGGCTGGGAATGGGTTACACATCTGGGCGATCAAAGGGTTAACTGTGTGCCTAGCCAGTATTTTGTGTACACAGTAAGGTGACTTTAATAGGCAATCTGTCAGCAGATCACTGCTCACAGGATACCGCACTGCCTTGTTTACATAGGCCGAGTAGTGTCCTGTCACTCCCCCCCTCATCGATCAATGGGTGCTGGCGCTCATCTGTTGGCCGGCACCTGTTGATCAGCTTCTCCTGTGACTAATCACAGCAGAAGCAGTGTGCTAGGGGTGGGCGCCCCCTGCGCCAGTAAGTGCAAAATAAATATATATATATATATATATATATATATATATATATATGTGATTTTGCACAGAATGTCCACCCTGTAGCAGTATATTGGGCAGTCAGGAAATGGTTAAACAAAATTAAAAAAAAAAAAGAAAAAAATTAGAAGGAAAATATTAGCTAAGGGGAGAAGTGGCAGAAGGAATTAATTAGGCTGACCAGGATTAAATAAGATATCATACCTTTGATCTACGTATGTATAGTATGTATAGTAAACACAATGTAACAATACATTGTAAAGCCTACTACACAGGGGGCCGAGTGTTGGGTGGCATTGACTGGTTCAATAGAAACTGGCTGACATTTGGTCCATGTGTATGGCAGCCGGTCCGGTAGAAGCCAGCCGACTGAAGGCTCATGACCGAAAAAAGGTCTACCAATTGGTTCCCAATCAGTGCTCTCACTCTGACTGGAGTGTTCTGGTGGGGGGAACACAATAGCACAGTAGGGAAGATCACTTGTACTAACATTGGAGAGTTAGTACACCAGCTCCTCCTGAGCTGTCAGGTTTTTTTCGTGCAGCCCTCTAGGTTGAATAAAAAAAAAAACTAGTAGTGTGTACCAGGCTTTACATTGTATTACTCATTACACTTGTTAACTATCTGCAAGAGTCAGTTTTCAAAGCATTGGCTGCATTTTGACAGCTGCTCCTGTTATAAAATACAAATCAATTCCCAACAGTTTTTTTTGACAACAGGTAATTTCTGTTTATAGTGACAGATTAAATGGTGGCAGGGGGAGAGGAGCTGAAGGTAAGAGACACATCTTATATACTTTTCTGGAGTTTTTAGGATGCATCTTCTATGTATGAAATGCTCAAGTGGTTAAAGTCTATTTAAATCTATATCTCCCAAGAATACCTTGTCCACAGAGAGGCAATATGGCTTTCACCGTAGTATATGTGTGGATTTTATTGAATGTTTCCTAATAAAGATACCGAGGAGTGCAGCAGATTCCAGAATTCTTCTTTATATGTTGGTCGGCAGATGAGCTGTGTGAGCACCGCTGGACTGAAATGCCTGCAGTGAAAGATACTTGGTGATTCACCTGGAGTGGTACAGGACTGCTCTCTATACAATGCTGCTGTACAAGTTCACTACAAAACAAACCTGCATTAAAGGAAGTGGAAAAATAACAGATTTCTGGCAGGATCCAAAGGTAACTTGTTACATGGGGAAAAAAAAACTCTGAATGTACTCCAATTCAATTTATTGCACTCCAATCTAGTACACAAGGGCCGAGTGTCGAGTGGCATTGACCAGTTCAATAGAAACCGGCTGCCATTGGGCCCGTGTGTATGGAAGCTGGTCCGACAGAAGCCGGCCGGATAGGCACAGCGGGCTTGAAATACAACTTTTATTACAAAATTTTACAAAAATATAAGCAAAATTAATATAACAATGAATATGCTACAATATAGTTGAAAATTTCCCTACAATTCAAGTGAAAATAATAATGAATATACCACAATATAATTGAAAAAGCTCCCCTACAGTTCAAGTGAAATCAAATCCCAAAAATTGTCCAAAATATCAAAAAGGAAACACCAATATGTCCCTCCTGTGTAATCAAGATGAAATAAGTGTGTCCAAAGAAAAAAATATCCTCCCAACGGTTTCCACGATGAATTTTACCTCAAAAAAAGAAGAAATACCACATAGTGCATTATCCTTTTATGATTTAAACATTAATAAATCACTCTAGTGAATATACCAAAAACTTTCCATTGAAAAATTAATGAAAAAAATGTGAAACAAACAGTGAAACCCCACTGTGTATCACTCTTCAGTGCCCAAAATCAAGCAAACACAGTGTACACTTCTAATTGGAATAAGGAGTGGGTACCCTTACCAACAATCCCAAATAATCACGCCTATAATGTAATCCAATCAATGGTGACAAAATGGCCCTCCTGTAGATCTCCACAAGGCATACACAACCTCCACCTGGATACATCAACCATAGTACTCCATGTGTCCCCATACACCTTGCTCCATCCAGATGCCCATATATGAAGGATAAGTATAGTGTAATACCGCCAAGATAACTGAATAAATGAGCTTTAATAAAACTGCTCACATAATTACAGCCTTTAAAACCGCCTAATATATCTGATAAAACCTTTCTGCCATCCAGAAAACGTCCAGGCTATTTCAGATGCTCCTTTCCACTTTCCAAAATGGCTGCTGGTGTACTTCCGGTTTCCGTGTACATCTGACGTCACTTCCCTTGACGCAGCGTTTTGTCTTTGACTTAATCATAACCAAAATTATTTGAAATTTTTCACATGGCTTAATATCTACAGGGAGAGCAAAACTATCTTTACTGACATCTCTTAAATCCAGTTTCTGACATTGTTCACTAGAACTCATTCTGATCTCCAGAATCTGATAATTAAAGTAATATTATTCATTAGTGCTCCCTCCGACAGGGGGAAAAAAACTCTGAATGTAGGTCATGCACTCCAATCTAGTACACAAGGGCTGGGTGTTGGGTGGCATTGACCAGTTCAATAGAAATCGGCCGCCATTCTGCCCGTATATGGAAGATTTAGAGGAAACTATCTTTACTGACATCTCTTAAATCCAGTTTCTACGGAGTTCTGACATTGTTCACTAGAACTCATTCTGATCTCCAGAATCTGATAACTAAATTAATATTACTCATTAGTGCTCCCTCCGAAAATATACCAAATAAAAAGTGCTCAACAAATTCCCAAAAATAAATCAATAGTTGAAGGCAAATCTAAGGAAATTGAACAAGAAAAATATATATTGTATGGCCAGCTTTAGAGATACACAAGAGGTCCAGTGCCAGAATTATTGCACTTGCTCTGATGTTTGTGGTGATATCTCACGTGTGTAGTGTGCCATCACCATTTATGCGACCAACGCGTGTGTTCATCTTTGCACATGAGCGCGGTGGGATGGGGGAGGTAGGGACGTTTTAAAAATGTTTTTTGATATTATTTATTTGAATTTTTTTCTTCTACAATGTAACTTTAATTTTTTTAATCACTTTTATTGCTGTCTCAAGGGATGAACAACATTCCTTGTGATAGCATGGGCAGTGACAGGCACTATTTACTGAGACATCTGGAGTCTATTAGACCCTAGATCTCTCCTCTGCCCTTAAAAGCATCTGATCAAACAAAGATCGGTTTGATCAGGCGCTTTTACCGGCAAAACTTGACAAACTACTCATTACTTCCATTTTTTTTATGCCATAGAGATGATTGGGGAAGTTCCAGTCCCTGTCCACCTCTATGGTAAGTTGGTAGAACCATCGGCTTCAGTCCTGGGCTCTCCAGTGGGATGGAAGAGCCCAGAAAGGCACTGACTGGAGAGCTGCGAGGGGAAGCAGATACCGCTATGATTGCTTTTACATTTAAGCACAACACCAGCTGAAAAAAAGATCCTGGGATGATTCCTGCATCTGTAGGCATTATCCCAGTATAGCCACTTCAACCTGGTGATGTATGGGTATGCTGTAGAGGCTGAAGTGGTTAAATCAAGGCTTCATTAGGTGTGCATGCGTAATATAATAACAACACAAAAATGAAGGTCAAGAAAACCACATGGCTAATGCCTTGGCTAACATGGGACCCCTGTACAGCTGGCCCTACCCCCCCCTCCATCTATACACATAACACACCACAATTAGTATCATGCATTGTAGTAAAGTTCATGTAATTGTATTACTGCAATGCAAACGTAAAACACTGTGACCTCAAACACTTGTTGATTGTGGTCATGTCAATTGCAGCAAGAGGTCCAGAGTTGCGAAAGTTTAAGTCAATATTACGAGAAGTCACAACTGTTCTTTTTTGTATTGAGATGAAGAACTGCAGAATATGAAACTAAAAATATATTCCCATTTTATAAAACCTTATAACATAGTGTTATGAAAAGTACACAGGTGTACAACAAACAACCCTAATAATGTGACAAACAGCTTACACTAGGACAGGTGACTCAACACTGGTGGGTCCTGTTTTGTGTGCACACAGGAAGGAAGGGGGGGTTAAGTGTTTCTGAAAGGAAAATGTAATTTAGAATACAGGAACCTTCCTCACAACATCCCCCACTCATGTGGCTTAGAGAATGAATGTTGATTGTACTAACCAGATAGCGCAATCTATTGCGCATTGGAGTAATTAAGACCTACTCCTGGTCATCCGGATCTGGAGCGCTGCGACGTGCAAGGTCACCAAGCCAATAGCATCCGGGTGATGTGCGTCAGAGGGGGATAGCCCATCTCAGGATATTCAGTCATCAGCTACCAGGAGGATATTCCACACTCTCAAGTATCCGAAAACACCTTGGGGAGGGCTCGTATAACAAAACAAGCACGTCTGGGCACAGGTGTGTGACACTGCAGTGTGGCACAGGTGGGTGCACTGCTGGGCACAGGTGGGTGATCTGCTGGGCACAGGTGGGCGGAGCTAGTGGGGCGCACTGCTGGGCACAGGTGGGCGGAACTTGTGGGTGGCACTGCTGGGCACCGATCATCAGGGCACTGATCATCAGTGCCCTGATGATTGGTGCCGATCCTCGCTCTGACAACTGCCGGTTCTCGGCAGTACTTTCCTCACGATCTGACAGCGTGAGGAAAGTGCAGCCGAGAACCGGCACTTGCATTTCCCTGTGATCAGAGTGTCATTGGACACCGCTGATCACGTGATAAAAAGGCCGCTGTGATTGGCCTTTTACCACATCACGTGATCAGCTGTGTCCGTAGGAGAGCGCGTTCTGAGAGGCCGTCATATGACGTCCACCCAGAACTGGCCGGCCGCAGTGCAGCCGTCATTCGGCTATCTGCGGTTGGCAACTAGTTAATATATGATACCTATTCTCATCATTAATCTCAGAACTAGACTATTTATTTACACACGTTTATTATATACGCTGTATCTTTGTTTTTAATATTGATTTTTAGCGCTGCATATTTTATCTATATACATTTTATGAGGAGGTCCTTGAGGTTTTACCTTTTATGCTAGCAGCTTTATACCACTTATTATTTATCCTTTTACCCAGCGCTCGTTTATATCTTCTTATATTTAATCTATAATATACAGCCCAATGTACAACAAAGGAATCAGAGTATGTCATGTACAGAATACAGTAGCCATAAGTGTGTAACATAATTAAACCACAATATGAACACGAATATGCAACCGAAAAGACTTTTACCTGTAGTGAAAAAAAAAACAAAACAAAACTCAAAAGGCAGCAGCTGTCAGAAAAACTGATATAGTTTATAAAGTCTCTATAATAACACATATAATTAAACTGCAGTACTTGTAGTGAGACTCCTTGAGCCAGGAGCCAAATGCTAAAGAAACTGCTAATTTAAAAAGAAAAATGTGGGTGGTCACAGTGTTAGGACCTGGGCCACCAAGCAGGAGATGCAGATCATGTGCCACATGTGCTCAGCGCTCTTTATGTCCGGGGCGGGAAGTCAGATGGGATTGAGAGCGGTGTTGCAATGTGGTTAAACCAGTGGGACTGTGGCGACTAAGAGCTTAAAGTGGTGCTCCAGTCTCTGATGAAAAAAATAAAAGGCAGCAGCAGCCAAAAACTGTAGCTGCTGAAATGCAAAAAACAGCCGCTCAACACAGCCGGGTGCACCGACTGGCCATCCTCTGTCCTCGGCGCCAGCATCTTAAGTGTGGGCACCCAACTGTTTGTCAGATAGGCAGCCCAACAGCCAAATGAAATAGTGAACATGGCAGGCTGACAACACTGTTGCTAATTGCAAGGCAGTGACTTAGTGTTGTCAATCTTAAAAATTGTAATCTCCATAGTCTGGACACTCTGTGCAACTCTTCTGCAGTAAGTAACCTGGGAGCTGCAATGAAACTGCATGGATGTATACACTTCCTTGTATCTGGATAAGGCAGGAGGTTTGTTCAGCCTGTATGTACCAAGGGTGATGCCATTCCAAACACTTGCTGGCTCAGAGCTACATGTTCAAGTATTCTATGAAGTTGACATATTCTCTATCAGTAGTCCAGTTCAGCAATCATTTTATTACAGGGCTGAGGTTTCCTTTTTAACCACTTCCTGTCCAGCCTATTGTAAAATGATGGTCAGATGGAATCTTTGCCATCCTTCTAGAACAAGGCATGTGCGTTGCTTTGCGGCCGCGCTGCGGTGTGATCTGTCACTGGCTATCTCCACTGGACACAACAGATGACAGATCACTGTAACAGCCCACTGCCAGTACCATGTGATTGCTGTGACCAATCACATCAGATCACATGACAATTGTAAACAATGAATGACTTTAATTCATGCCATTCATTGTGTACAATTGTGTTGCTAGGTGTGATTGGTCACAGTGATCACAGGGTACATACAGGGCCAGGTCAGCCCATCAGAACCATGTGATTAGCTGTGGTAAATCACAGCAGATCACAACAATACACACTGAATGAATCATTTCAGTCCATAAAAATGGTTGCTTATACCAGTCAAATTCACAGTTCACAATCATAATGTGTAAAAAAAAAAAAAAAAAAAATCTTGATCACTTCCCTATAGTAGTACAATTGTAATATGTGAACACTACATTGCTCCGGTCACTGTGTTAAAAAAAATTGTTTAAAAAAAAAAAATAAAAAAAAAATGTTATTTTTATAACCGGTTGCCGCCCAGCCACCATCAGTCTATAGTCCGGGTAGCAACTGGTTAAAAAAAATAAACATAACATATGGCATCCTTTCCGGAATGCGCATTGCTCATGCCCGCAGGGCCACGCAGTAGCGAGATCTGTCACCGGCCGTGTACCTTGGACACGGCCGATGACAGATCTGTGTTCCGGCCCCGTTGCCAGTACGATGTGACCTGCTGTGACTAGAGATGAGCGAATCGAACTTGGCGAAGTGGAATTCGTTTCAAATATTAGGAAAAATTTGATTCGCACCGAATCCGAATTTTAGCAAACTTCGGGTGCACGAATCGAATTTTCCCCGATCAGCCGGCAAAAAGTGTCACTGCAGAGAGCTCCGCTATTTCTGACAGTTCTCTGACAGTTCTGACAGTTCATTTACAGCGGTTGAAACATTGTATCTATTTGTTTCCATTTAGGATACAGATGTTTTTATTCGGAAATAAATAGATACAATGTTTCAACCGCTGTAAATGTGAAGGAACTGTCAGAGAACTGTCAGAAATAGCGGAGCTCTCTGCAGATACACTTTTTGTTGTACTGGAATTCTTCTTCTTTTCATTCTTCTTCTTCTTTTCATTCTTCTTCTTCTTCTTTTCATTCTTCTTCTTCTTCTTTTCATTCTTTCTTTTCATTCTTCTTCTTCTTTTCATTCTTCTTTTCATTCTTCTTCTTCTTCTTCTTTTCATTCTTCTTCTTCTTCTTCTTTTCATTCTTCTTCTTCTTCTTTTCATTCTTCTTTTCATTCTTCTTCTTCTTCTTTTCATTCTTCTTCTTTTCATTCTTCTTGTCATTCTTCTCATTCTTCTTTTCATTCTTCTTTTCATTCTTCTTCTCATTCTTCTTTTCATTCTTCTTCTTCTTCTTTTCATTCTTCTTCTTCTTCTTCTTTTCATTCTTCTTTTCATTCTTCTTCTTCTTCTTTTCATTCTTCTTCTTCTTCTTTTCATTCTTCTCTTCATTCTTCTTCTTCTTCTTTTCATTCTTCTTCTTCTTCTTTTCATTCTTCTTCTTCTTCTTTTCATTCTTCTTTTCATTCTTCTTCTTCTTCTTTTCATTCTTCTTCTTTTCATTCTTCTTCTTTTCATTCTTCTTCTTCTTCTTTTCATTCTTCTTTTCATTCTTCTCATTCTTCTTTTCATTCTTCTTCTTCTTTTCATTCTTCTTCTTCTTCTTTTCATTCTTCTTCTTCTTTTCATTCTTCTTTTCATTCTTCTTCTTCTTTTCATTCTTCTTCTTCTTCTTTTCATTCTTCTTCTTCTTCTTTTCATTCTTCTTTTCATTCTTCTCATTCTTCTTTTCATTCTTCTTTTCATTCTTCTTCTCATTCTTCTTTTCATTCTTCTTCTTCTTCTTTTCATTCTTCTTTTCATTCTTCTCATTCTTCTTTTCATTCTTCTTTTCATTCTTCTTCTCATTCTTCTTTTCATTCTTCTTCTTCTTTTCATTCTTCTTCTTCTTCTTTTCATTCTTCTTCTTCTTTTCATTCTTCTTCTTCTTCTTCTTTTTCATTCTTCTTCTTCTTCTTCTTTCCATTCTTCTTTTCATTCTTCTTCTTCTTTTCATTTTTTTCTTCTTCTTTTCATTCTTCTTTTCATTCTTCTTATTCTTCTTTTCATTCTTCTTCTTCTTCTTTTCATTCTTCTTTTCATTCTTCTTCTTCTTCTTTTCATTCTTCTTCTTCTTCTTTTCATTCTTCTTTTCATTCTTCTTCTTCTTCTTTTCATTCTTCTTCTTCTTCTTTTCATTCTTCTTTTTTCATTCTTCTTCTTCTTCTTTTCATTCTTCTTCTTTTCATTCTTCTTTTCATTCTTCTTCTTCTTCTTTTTATTCTTCTTCTTCTTCTTTTCATTCTTCTTTTCATTCTTCTTCTTCTTCTTTTCATTCTTCTTCTTTTCATTCTTCTTTTCATTCTTCTTCTACTTCTTCTTCTTCTTCGTCGTGCCCCGTGACTGCCCAAATGAGTGAAGTGTGCGGTGATTCTAAGATCGACGGCACTCATCTGCATGTCATACTGACTGACAGTATTATTTCTCTTCCCCAGCAGACTCCAAGGGCATTTAAATTAAAGGTACAGTGTTCTGCACTAATATAAAGGCTCTCTGAAGCCTAGAAACCCTTTTAATAAGTTAAATTCACAGCGAATAAATTCGCATCGAATCGAATTTCTCCCGCAAATTCAGCGAATCGGCCGAATCGAATTTTTGAATAATTCGCTCATCTCTAGCTGTGACCAATCACAGCAGGTCACATGAAAGTTGTATACAGTAGATGGTTTCCTTTCATGCCATCCATTGTATACAAGTGTGTCTAGCTGTGAATGGTCACAGCGATCACATGCACAAGCTGGGCCAATCACAACCCAGCTGTGTCATATGATTAGCCGTGGCCAAATCACAGCTAATCACAAAAACCCCCCCTGAATTAATCGATTTCATTCAGGTAAATGCTTGCATATATTGTGTAAAAAAAAAAAATACTGATCACTTCCCCAAAGTAGTACAATGTTACTATGGTAACATTATACTACTTTGGTCATAGTGCAATATGAAAAAAAATCTGAAAAAAGAGAAAAAGTTTAATAAAAAAATTAAAATAATTAAAAAAAAAATTGAAAAATAATTCTCAATTTTTTTTTCGTACTGTCACCAGTCAATGTCCCTGATCACCGCCATGCCAGTTATATGACGACGCTGTACTGCACTGGTGACAGTATGTAAAAAAAAAACAAGTGAAAATCATTTTTTTCATTTCTTCATTTTCCAAAAAATTATAACAAAAAAATTACAACTTCAAAAAACTCGCCATGTCTGTTATGAAATACAGAGGACTGTCTACTTTGCAAAAAGGGGTCATTTGGGGGATATCTGTACTGTTCTGACATTTTTGGGCCTCAAGAAATTAGATTGGCTGTCAGTACTTTAGGATTGATCAATTTTCTGATACATCCCATAGTTTGTGAACTCTAAAACTTTCCTACAGACTAAATAGTAAATACTGATTTGAGTTATTTTCACCAAAGAAATGTAGCAGAATACATCTTGGCCTAAATTTATGAAGAACAATTATTTATTTGCAAATTTTTATAACAGAAACAGAAAAATTTATTTTTTTTGTTAATTTAGCAAAAAGTAAAAACCCCAGTGGTGATTAAAAAAAAAGTAAAAACCCCAATAGTTGTGTGAAGAAAATGATAACATTTTAGTTTGGGTACAGTGTTGCATGACTGCGCAATTGTCATTCAAAGTGTGAGAGCGCTGAAACCTGAAAATTGGCCTGGGCAGGAAGGGGGTAAAAGTGCCCAGTATGGAAGTGGTTAACATGCTGTCATCAGTCAGTGTCCCTGATCAATGCCACACCAATTATATGATGCCATTGTACTGCAATAGTGACAGTATGTAAAAAAAAAGTGAATTGTGACAAAAGTTTTTTTATTTCTGAAAAAAATTAAAACTTCAAAAAACTCATTATGCCTCTTACTAAACCCCTTGGACTGTCTAATTTCTGAAAAAGGGGTCATTTGGGGGATATTTGTATTGTCCTGACAAATTTGAGCCTCAAGAAATGAGATCCATCAAGAAATGAGGCCATCAGTACATCAGGATTGATCGATTTTAAGATATATACCATACTTTGTAGACTCTATAACTTTCCTACAGACTATATAATAAACACTGATTTGGGTTATTTTCACCAAAGATACGTAGAATACATTTTTGCCTAAATTTATGAATAAAGATTATTTATTTGCAAAATGTTATAACAGAAACAAAGAAAAATGCATTTTTTTTCAAAATTTTTTGGACTATTTTTGTTTATTTAGCAGGAAATAAATATACCCAGTGATGATTAAATACCACCAAACGAAAGCTCTATTTGTGCAAAAAAAATGATAACAATTTCATATGGGTACAGTGTTGCATGACCACACAATTGCCATGCAAATTGTGACAGCACTGAAAGCTGAAAATTAGCCTGGGCAGGAAAAGGGTGAAAGTGCCTGGTATTGAAGTGGTTAAAGTGATTGTAAAGTTAATTTTTAATCAAAATGACAAACATGTTATACTTACTGTACCTGCTTTGTTTGTGGAATGGTATTGCACAGACTGGCCTCTTAATTCATCTTCTGGAGTTCCTCTATGGCGCTATCCACTTGTTTTTCTTACGAGTGCCCCCTCAGCAAGCCATGTGCTGAGGGGGCACCAGCACAGATGCTCTCTTGAGCTGGGCTGTGTGTCCCCAAAGACCCACCCATCACAGCTCAACCCCCTCCCGCTCCCTCCTCCCAGTATTTGGCTTACAGCAGCTGCCCGCTGCTGCCTGTGTCTCCTGTGACAGCAAGGAAAGAAACTAGTGTGTGTAATAGTGAGTTGATATGTGTTTAGTTTTGGTTACAATATTTCAGGAGATAAAAGAAAGATAATCTTCAATTAATATAAAATGAATCTCCAGGTAAAGTTTTTTGTTGCCTTAGATTTGGCCTCCGCTCAGAAATATTAGGGTGGATAAAGGGATGTGATATACAGCTGCAAGAAAACACATTGGGTGGATTTGATAAAGGCAAATAGAACAGTTGCATTCATTTTCCCCCAGAGCTTATTGAATGTGGCGAAGATTCACTTTGAAAAAAACACCCGATCAATAAAAACAAAATGTTTGCTTGCATATGATTGGATGATGGAAATAGGCAGAGCTTCACCATCATCACTAAGCTCTGGAGAAAAATGTGTGCAACTGCATTCCCAAAGTGCACAGTCTGTTTGCCTTTAATAAATCCACCCCAATATGTTTTCTTGCAGCTGTTTATCACATCCCTGTTGTTAAAACTAAAACTTAAGCTGGATTTCAGCAGCTCCCCACATTGACTAAGTGTACAGGAAGTTGATTCTGTTATACAAATGACATTTACTGAATTTTTGGCTTTATACTGGCAATACTTGGTTGTTTCAATGCAGTTGATGAGTGTAAACTCTGTACGACTTAATACATCTTTGGTGCCTGGAACTCCTCTACAGAGGGCCTTCACTGGCTCGGGAAGTGAATAGATAAAGGTGTTCCATGCCTTGCAGTTGAACAAGGCTCTTCTCATGACATTATCGCAGTCAAAATCCAGGGACCTTGTCAAGTGCTTCTTCTGAAAAGTTTTCCAGTCTTGACATGAGGACGTGTGGGTAAGGCTCAAAACAACTGCAAATATCAGGAGAATGGAGGATTTTGGAAACATTCTGGAAGTCATGATCTGAAAAAGGAGACCAAAGAAAATGATGATATTCTAAGTAGTTTTCACAAGCCATCAAAAAGAAAAATGAAAAAAAATGTTCTTGACCTTCATTCTGCCTTTATTATGCTCACCTTTACTGACAGTGCCACATTTTTCACATGAAACACCAAAAACACACAGTACAGATGGATTTGTAACTTTGTGGAAGTTGTGGTGCGCCGCAACATTCATGTGTTGGGGGTGAGTGCAGTGTGTGTTAATGTACATTGCAGTAATATGTGCAAACAGAGGAGTCTTAATGGGCCCTAAGAGCCTATTTAAACTTCTCTGTTCTGGTGCATGGCAATAATGTAGCAATTTAGAAATGTGCTGCTAAAGGACCCTGCGTGGCGATTCATTGTGCAGGAGCTGAGATCAGAAGGTTAATAACACATCTAATTAAACTGCGGCACTTGTAGTGAGACTCCTGGAGCCAGGAGCCAGATGTTCAAGAAATGGCTAATTTAAAGAAAAATGTGGGTGGTCACAGTGTTAGGACCTGGGGCACCCAGCCCCTGGGGGAAAGCCAGATGAGATTGAGGGCGGTGTTGTAATGTGGTTAAACCAGTGGGACTTAGTCATTATGAGCCTGTTAAACAGAACCAAGTTTCCATTGAAGCTATCATAGCCAAAACGTGTTGTTCCAACTGAGAGCTTAAAGTGAAGCTCCAGTCTCTGGTGAAAAAAAATTAAAAGTCAGCAGCTACAAAAACTGTAGCTGCTGACTTTTAAAAAACAGCCACTCATCTGTTCCTCAGTCCAACGGTGTGCTCACTGCAGCCGTCCGTCCGCTGTCACTGGCGCTGGCATCTTAAGTGTGGGCACCTGACTGTGACAGCTTGCGGCTTCACAGCTGGAGGCCCACTGTACATGAGCGAGCAGCGCTGTGCATTGTGAAAGGTCCCACAGTCCTTTGGAACCTGTCACATGTCCCAGAAGACTGAGGGGAGGGAGGAGGGGGGGGGGGAGAACTTCCGCTTTTAATCGCTTAGGTAGTCAAAGCGGAAGTGGGAGTGGGTACCTGTCAAAATAGGGTACCCACTCCCCACCTTGCTCCCCAAAGGTGCCAATCCTTAACAGGGATTAGGGGATGACTCCTTAAAGCGGAACTTCCACTTTTGGATGGAGCTCCTCTATAAGTTGTTTATTCTCATCAAAAGTACTAATTTATACTGTGATCTGCCCCCCTTTACAAATTACTAGAATTATATTTATGGGACTAAGCATTTTTTTAATTTGTGCTAAAAAAATTAACTAAGAAAAATGTTAAATATTTACTTACCGCCAGTAAAAAAGGAAAAAAAATCAACAGAAAAAATATCTAAGGAAAGAAAGAAGTAAAAGAAAAATGCATAATTCAGTATGATTAAACTAAATATAAACCTAAAAAATGTTGACCATCATGTTTTACCCTATACAATTTTCTTTCTGAGCGTAGAACTGTTCAATCTGTCTATCCGATAGGCAGCCCAACAGCCAAATGAAACAGTGCACATGGCAGGCTGACAACAATTTTCTAATTGCAAGGCAGTGGCTTAGTGTTGTCTGATTGAGCATTTTCCCACTCTACTGTCTAATCTACAAATCACAATATTTTATACAGTAACAAAAATAGGTTATAGGAGAGAAACCCAGACTGTGTGTTCTGTATGTCCACATTCCAGCAGCAAATCATGTACAACTATGAAAAGAATATGTAGTCATGGACTTTTCGTGGACATATAGAAGAGACTGAGTAACGTAAAGACAATGTTATTATCTACCAATAAAAATCTATTGCACAACATTAAAAATTACTATCCAGAAGTCTCAAGAGACGCAGCCGCACTCTTCAGCGAGCATGGCATAAAAATAAATCCCTGAACAACTTTACCCTCTACAAATCCACTCTTCTCAAATACAACTCCAGCCTCCACGCTGCTAAGCAAACCTACCATAACACTCTCATCAAGACCCTCTCATCCAACCCTCGTCAACTCTTCTCTACCCTTAATTCCTTACTCCACCCCCCACTGCCTCCACCCACCAACTTACTTACTGCACAGGAGATTGCCAGTCACTTCAAGAAGATGATCGACACAATTCGTGATGAGATTTCCAGTATCAAGCTTCCTCCTCTAACCAACATACCAGGCCCAACACCAAACTCTACACTCTCCTCCTTCAAACCTGTTACCACCAAGGAAGTTACCGAACTCCTTTCCAAGGCCCACTTCACCACCTGTCCCCTGGATCCTGTCCCCTCACGATTGTTGCAGCCTCCTTCCTGCTCTATCCTAAACTATCTAACCCACATCTTCAACCTCTCACTCTCCATGGGCACCTTTCCCTCCCCACTCAGACATGCACTGGTTACCCCATCCTCAAAAAATCCTCGCTGGACCCCACCTGTTTGAATAACTTAAGACCCATCTCCCTGCTCCCATTTGCCTCCAAGCTTCTTGAGCGCCTTGTTCACAACCGTATGAACTGCTACCTCACTGACAACAACCTTCTTGATCCCCGACAGTCTGGCTTCCGCCCACAACATTCCACAGAAACTGCCCTACTAAAACTCACTAATGACCTAATAACTGCTAAAACCAACGGCCATTACTCCATACTCATACTTCTTGACCTTTCCGCTGCCTTTGACACAGTCGACCACCCGCTCCTCCTCAGTAAACTCCACTCCATCGGCCTCGGTGACTCTGCTCTCTCCTGGTTCTCCTCTTACCTTTCTCAGCGCACTTTCAGTGTCACATGCAACTCCTCCTCCTCCGCTCCACTTTCTGTTGGGGTACCCCAAGGTTCTGTTCATGGGCCCCTCCTTTTCTCTCTCTATACCTCCTCCCTGGGCCAACTGATAACCTCCCATGGCTTCCAATACCACCTCTATGCTGATGACACCCAGATATATCTCTCTAATCCCCAGCTCACCCCCTCAATCTCCTCACGTATCACAAATCTACTAAGCGACATATCAGCATGGATGTCACATCACTACCTTAAACTCAATCTTTCAAAAACTGAGCTTGTAATATTTCCTCCTCCCCGATTCCCCACTCATGACTTTACTATTAAGATCAACAGCACTACCATTGGTCCTTCCCCTCATGCCAGGGTGCTAGACGTAATCCTAGACTCTGACCTCTCCTTTGGGCCCCACATCCACTCACTGGCTAAATCCTGCCGCCTCAACCTCCAGAACATTTCCAAAATCCACCCCTTCCTGATCAATGACACCACAAAACAACTTATCCACGCCTTGGTTATATCCCGCCTCGATTACTGCAACTCCCTCCTCACTGGTCTACTGTTACACAGGCTATCCCCCCTTCAGTCTATTATGAATGCTGCTGCTAGGCTCATACACCTTACCAACCGATCAGCGACTGCTGCCCCTCTCTGCCAATCCCTCCACTGGCTTCCACTAACCCAACGTATAAAATTCAAAATACTAACCACAGCTTACAAAGCCATCCACAACACTGCCCCTAGCTACATCGCCAAACTCTTTGTTAGGTTCTTACCAGTGGTAGCCTCTAGCGCTCCACAGACCGGAATCCCCCAGGGCGCGGAATCTAAGCCCCAACCTGCTTGTTCACCAGGGCCCCTGATGGTGGGGATGGACTTGGAGCAGGCCGAGACCAGGTCGCGGCCCCTGGGTTCACCCGGCTGCGGTAGAAGCACCGCTGGAGGTGTGTAGCAGGTGAGAGCCTGATGTGAGGAGGTAACAAGAGCAGCGTCGGGCAGGTCGGGTCGGTAACGGTGGTGGCGGCGTGGTACAAAATCAGCAGGCAGAGGGATAAACAGGTCACAAGCTGGGTTCGGTAACAGGAGATCAGAACGTGCAGGGTTAAGCAGGAGAATGGTCAGACAAGCCAGGGATCAGAACAGGAGACAGACAGCAAATCAGGGTCAGGCAGGGTCGGCAACAAGACAATCTACAACGCAGGAACTCAGGATACAGGTAAGACCATACAGCAACTAAACACAGCCCTGAACTGTTTTAAATAGGGTGCCCTGATTGGAGCCAGGCTCGCGTCCGCGATCGCGAGTGTGCATGAGTGAGCACTGCTGCAATTGTGGGTGCCCTAGTCCCAATGCTCGCACGCTAGTGCGGCCAGGCGCATGCACAGACTCGTGCGCGATCGCGGACAGCTCTGGGGTCCCTGACACTCATCCACAGATACTGCCCAAATCGCCCAAATCGCCCACTCCGCTCCTTTTATGATATCCTCCTCTCTAGCTCCCTCATCACCTCCTCCCACGCTCGCCTCCAGGACTTGTCCAGAGCCTCTCCCATCCTCTGGAACTCCCTACCACAGCATGTCCAGTCAGCCCCCACCCTGTCTGCCTTTAGGCGATCTTTGAAAACTCACTTCTTCAGGGAAGCCTACCCCACCTCCACCTAAGAACTGTACTTAAATCACCTCCGCCAGATCATCCCCCGCAGCTATCACCTTTTGTATCACCTCCCCCTTCCTTTAGATTGTAAGCTCCACGAGCAGGGCCCTCCTATTCCTTCTGTACTGAAATGTATTGTAATTGTATTGTCTCCCTTATATTGTAAAGCGCTGCACAAACTGTTGGCGCTATATAAATCCTGTATAATAATAATAATAAAAAATTGGAATTCATAGCATGCGCATGTTTCCCATAGAGGTGCAAATGAATAAGCCAAGGTGAAGCCACTGCCTCTCAAGTGGGAACTTTAGGTACATTCAGTGAACATCCAATGGTCTTGTACACATAATCTTCTCAATAGGGAAACATCCAGACCCAATGTAAGTTACCATAAAGACATCATGGTCAAAGTAGTCAAAGCACATACACTATATTGCCAA